CATTCCTTGGGTACTGGTAAATCTAATCACTGTGTTTCTTCCTGTGTTTTCTCTCTGAAGCCATCAATCCATCTCTGAATAAATTTAGTTTCTTAATTAGGATTCAGGAAGAAGCAAATTCCTATTATTACATTAATGGTAACAAAGAAAAGACCTGAACAACTCTACCAAATATTTTGTTTCCCATATCAAATAAAAAGAAAGCAGGTTATCCATGGCATAGTTTCAGTTTATATAGCTATAAAAATTTATGCATTTCTGGCATGTTTTATTAGGTAAAGAGAACAGAATTATAACAAAATATGTATATGGATTATAACTTTTCAAGATTTGAAGGTAATGTTGTAAAGCCATTATCATCTCTGGTTCCTATCTGGTTTCCCCCCCCCCCCCCTTGTGACAGCTTCTTGCCAAATCAGTTTCTTAGCCTTAAAGTTTCTACAAAATACTGTTATTTCCCAGCAGCCCAACTGGCAGTTCTGCAACAAATATGCATAAGAAACCTTATGGGGGGATAGGCAGGTGAGGGGAGTTGAAACATACCTGCAGTCATAAGTGCAGGTGTGCTGCCAAGCGCCTGAATTTTGTTCATGTGACTGCAGGGGTACTGTAATGGCCATAACTTTGGGGACTGGGTGTAAGTACTATTCGTTCAGCGGCGCCATAATTTCAAATGGTTGCTGAACAAATGGTTATAACTCGAGGACTACCAGTAATAACACCAAGAGACAAAACATTGCTGTACAGCAGTTTTCAAATAGTTCGAAACCAATTTAAATTTACGGGGGTTACTCTGGTATAGATATTAGTAATGGCAGATATGTGATGACATATCTTTGGAAATTCCAAATTTCCTCTGTAATGTACAATTGCAGAATGACATTGGACCATTTTAGCCTACACTCAGTTAATCTGGGACAACTGCAAAGTGTATGGCTCTAGACATTGCTGCATGTAAATGATATGTCTGAGAATCTTTCGCAATATTCAGGAACCTTCAACAAGTTTGAAAAGAGAATCCAGTGGATAGGGGTGTAATGATGACATACTGGGTGCAGTTTGATATAGCTTTCCACTTTTTGCTGCAACAATATCCTCTGTTCATCCGAAAGAGATTCAGGCTTCTTCCAGAGAGAATATGCTTTTCTTCTTTTCTTCTCCAAGAATTTAAGCACCTATTGAAACAAAATATTAATGTAAGATGTTAACTATTTAGAGAATCTTAATTTTTACATAGGACAGGTCCTTTGAATGTCCTCTTGGTGAGCATGGAAACTTTAGAAGAAATGTTGCATCATCTCTATCTTCAATGCAGATCAATCCTGATGGATCACATTTAAACAGCAACATATGTTAGAATATTTTCAGTGTATCTTCTTAAAACAATTGCCACATCCTGAGACCCAACAGTGTTCTCCATACCCTCTTCATGCATGGGAAGGGAAATGGATCTTGGAATGCTGGCCATGAGCCCTAATCCTCCATGAATGACTTTCATACATGCAACTCACTGTATTAAGACCTGAAATTGAACTGGTGGGCAAACATTACAGCTGCACATGCAGCCAAAGTTGAGCCTTCACACTTTTTAAGAAAGGCATTGAGAAGGGAACCTTCTTGAACCATGCAGCAATTACAGAGATTTGGTTTAGATTTGCTACTGATTATGGGTTGAAGAAGAAATACAATTATACTCTTTAGGCTTTTCTTTGGCCAATAGGCTAAGTAGGAAGCTCACAAGCCCATAAGAAAAAAAATATCCTTGGCAGAAGGCATCAAGAATCAATGCAGCTCAATATTTTGTTCTCTTGTGAGTTTCTACAGCATGTGATAATTACTTTTGTTGTTCAAAATTGGGACAACAATGCAATTGTCCTCTTTTCTCCTCTTGTTTCTCCTCTTGATCTTCTCTTCTGGCAGATACTACTAGAACAAGGCTTACTTCAGTACTGACAGTACGGTTCAAACAATTTGGCTCTAGACCATCACTGAGTTAAGGAATAATTTGATTAACTGTTAGAAAGGATTAGAAAAATAAGAACAGTAAACAACTGTGTTATTGAAATACTATTCTAATTTAAGTCTTGCAGACCAGACTTTCTGAAGCATTGCTTTTAATGAATCATTCAGGTTTTTGCAGACAGCAGTGTTCCATGTACATCCTAATTTACAAATTTAAATTAAATGTATCAGAGGTCCTGAATTTGATTTTTTAAAAATATACTGATGCAAAATATTTCATCTCATGCCAGTGCTTGGTTTGCATACTGACCGCTCTCTGAATGAGGACAGCTGCTTTATATTCCTTGAGAGATCTTTTTTGCTGATGAAAATTTCTCCTTGCTTTAAATGCTCTCCAGTACCTTTGGATAGTTAGGGCTGCCTTCTTTTTCATTTCATATATATGCTTATCTACTTGACCTAGGGGAGAAAGGGCATATATTCATTATTAGAAAATCAGAATTCACACAAGCAGATAGTATTTGAATTTCATTCTAGCTAGATGAAAGATGCAGAAAAGAAACCAGGCATGTTCAAACTGTTTAGAGTTAGGGCAGAACATTTTTTAAACCAAAGGCCACTGTAGACACTTTCAGGATCATTTTGTAGACCATAGGTATCTTGGTAATGCCACATTTACATGCTATCTCAGGGGTGGACAATATGAGGTCACAGAATTGATATGGCCCCTGAATTTGTACTCCACCCAGAGATGTCAATTGAAATCTAAGTTTTAATATGACAGGAAGGGAAATATACTAAACAGATGGGAAGTAATCACATTCATGATACTTAATTATTTGATAATACATTGATTGTTATTGTGCTAGCCCTACCATGTATTTGTGCATTTCATAAATAGGGTCTTACACCAAATACAATATTGAACTGTTACACTATTATTTAACTAGACATATTATTTACTTTCACTGAACAATTCTGGTTCAGCCTCAAGCTGCACTCCTGGTCAAAGGCAACTTACTGAAACAAAAGGATGAAATAAAACACGGGTTGCTGCCTTTCTCCTAAGAACTGGTGGCAAGGATTTTCCAGTACAACCAAGAATGCAAGAAAACCCAAGGCCTTCTCAGGGTCATTCCACAAACTGTACTCTGGAGGCAAAATAATGGACAACATAGTGTATGATTCATACACATTTAATGTAGCTACACTGACTTACTAGACTACACTGACTTACTAGATACAAATTACAACACATCTTTGCCTTATCCCTTGGTTGATATATCCATGATAAATTATTAGGTCATTATAGAAAAGTCCTTTAGAGCATCAATGATGCCACCTTGGGGAACAAAGTAAAGACAAAAAGTCCAAGTGAAAGAAAAAAGGATATCTGTCCCCTAATGGAAATAGTTCTTCATGGTTCTGTAATAACCATACCTGCATGGACAATTTCCAATAGTGTTAGCTGTCGTTCATGAAACAGCCTCATGCCTCTCTGTCTTTGAAGCTGCAGTTGTTGACAGAGGTGTTCTTCTTCTCTCTGCCTTTTTAAACTTTGTAACTCCTGTTCTCTCCTAGCTCTACAAACAAGTTAAAAAAAAAAAAACCTTAAAGATGCTGTTTCCAACGTTTAAACTGTTTCCAGTTTTAGCCACTGTTTAGGGCTGAGCCATGAGAGTTTCTGCCGTTTATTCTTCCATAGCACAGAGCAAATTTGCATACCCATCTGTAGACACAAGAGTTAAGGGACTTCAAATATCATGTAGTTCAGCTTCTTGCCATTCCAGGAAATCTACTACTATAGCCTTCCTGAGAAGTGGCCATCCAGCTCTGCTTAAACCTCTTTAATGAAGGACAATTAGGCATCTTCAAAACCAGTCTGTTCCAATGTTATTTCTTTCTTAATGTATAACTGACATTCCCTCTTAATTTCCTGATGGAGAGAAAAGGGAAACAAATTTGCTCCACATGCCATGGCCAGCACATGACCCCAGAGTGGGATAAAGCCACAAAGCCCTTTTAATTTTGGGAGGTTTGTGCTATTTTTAAAGGCAGAGTTATTCTTGATTAATCTTTGTAATCTCTATGTAATTCTTGTGTTTCTTCAGACCACTGTTTAACGCCAATTCTAAAATCTGAATATAAAAAATAAACTGATCAGTAACTGCCTAGACTCTCTCCCTTCCATGCCCTTCCATTTTGAAGACATGGATAGTTTCTTCCTCTGGTCCCATGTTATCTTATAGCACAGATAATGAATGTTGATCACTGCTATGTGATAGTAAACATTTGGTTTTCTTAGTTGAATATAAACGCAAGATCTAATTCAGCAACTGTTTTCAGCAATGGCAATCAAGCACTTCTGAGATGAATCACATAAAGAAAAGAGTACGCAAGACCATTCCTTCCCTGCTTATCTCCAAGTACCTAAGAATTAGTAAATCTATCCTCCATGTATCCTTCAATTCTCTCTATGTATATATATGTATGTATGTATATGAGAGCCAGTTTGGTATAGTGGTTAACGCACCAGGCTAGAAACTAGGACACTGTGAGTTCTAGTTCTGCCTTAGGCATGAAGCCAGATGGGTGACTTGGAGCCTGTCACTCTCTCTCAGCCCTAGGAAGCAGGCAAGGGCAAACCACTCCTGAAAATGTTGCCAAGAAAAATGCTGAGATTAGTCCAGGCAGTCGCCAGGAGTCAAGAGTGACTCAAAGGCACACACACACACACACACACAAAAAGTATGTATGTATGTATACTGGGATCAGGTCCAGGGTTTAGCATAGAATTTTGATTTCAAAAATAATCTGCAGGCTGAAAACCCATGTGTGAAATCTGCCCTCTAGTGGATTTCTCAAACAAGTACCAATTTAGAAGATTTTGTATTTTTTAAAATATGTTTTTGTGTGTGTGTGTGTGTGTGTGT